GTGAGCTTGTATAGCTAGAACAAATGGGCGTGGCGAAGGTCGTGTCCGACGGACATATCAGTCGCTAATTGATATTTCTTTTCCAAGAATTGTTGGCGAGCGAGAGGGGAATTCTCGGACATATTATTTTTCACTAACTTATTGAAATTTGTACAATTGTTCAGTAATTAACATTTTCGTAATTTTTTGCTGAATTATATATTCTTTTTGCCCGACGACCGGTCGTTAATTCCCCGACAAAACTACATGCACACCACAAACCAGGAGTTTTAAATGTGAAATCTGTTTCCTAAACATCCTCCAGTTTCTCCGACGGGGCTGCCTTGTTATAGTGCATGTGTTTTCTAATAGGTCTGTGTTTAGATTCACGGCTGTTGAGATACGTAGTTTTGTTATCCTCTTTAACAAGTGTTCCATATACTGACAATTAATTGTTTTCTAATATTCTTTCAGGAGTTCAAGAATGGAAATCCAAGAAGAAGGTTACGATGAGAGCCGTTTTGAAGGTCATGTCAGGGAAGATCTATTTTGCTCTATTTGTCAAGGGGTACTCAGAAATCCACGAACTTGCCAGAATAAAGAACATCCATTTTGTCTTTCTTGTATATGTCAACATCTTCGTAATTCCCAAACATGCCCTGAATGCAGAGAACACCTGTCCCCCAAAACCCTTAAAGATCCACCGAGATTTTTGAAGAATACCTTATCAGGGCTGAAAATCAAGTGTGACTACAATGAGAGGGGCTGCCCGGTCTACGTCCAGCTTGAAAATTTACAAAATCATGTTGATCAATGTGAATTCGCGCCCGTCGTGTGTGGAAATGAAGGATGTGGAGTGTCGGTCAATAGAAGCGATAAAGTTACCCACGAAAGGGATCTCTGTCAGTTTAGAATCGCCAAATGGCATGACTACAGAGATATCAAAGGAAGCCAAGATGAAATGAAAGTTAAGGCTCTAAAGATGGAAAGAAAACAAGATCATATAATGGTATGGAAAGATTTCTTTAATTCATTGTAGGTTGTCATAATGATAACAGTAACTGTTTTCTACTGTACTTTTGGACGAGAAATTTTACACGATATTTTTATTTATACTCACGATATTAATCTTCGATCAGGAATCCCAAGCACAAATGAAAGTCAAGATCGAAAAAATGGGAAAAAAACAAGATGAAATAAAGGTAAAATAAAGATTTAGTTATTCTTTGGAGGTTTCTATGGCGATAAAAAAAAAGTTTTTTAGATCTACTCAGGGAATAAAATTACAAAATATGTACTTATACTCATGATCATGTATAAAGTGTCATCTCCGAAATAATATATATTCTAACAATAATACTGTAATTCAGGAATCGCAAGCTGAAATGAAAGTTCATACGGAAGAAATAGAACGAAAACAAGATGAAATGAAGGTGACACATCAATTTTTGGCTGCCTATATAGCTATGGATCTGCGTTTAGATAGGTATAATTGGTTTGTAGATATCTATTTTGGAGTGAAATACTATAAGATATCTATTTGTAGGCCATGTCAGTTCAAAAAAATGATGACGAAATCGAACAAACTCAAGCACAGATGAAAATAGAATTGAAAGGAATGAGAGATAAAATCACTGGAATGGAACGAACGCAAGCTGCAATGAAGGTAAAACAAGATTATTTTCAGTTCTTTGCATGGAGATGGAATTGAATTGTTTCGTGCATTGTTGGCGATGACAAAGGATTATTTGAAGCTTGAAATTATGATCTATTAACAAAACTGAATTGTTTTCTAGTATACTGTATGGTACATCATAAAGGCTACATTTGAGTTGAGAGTTTTTCATATGTTTAAATCTTTCCAAATTTTATATCGGAACTGTTTCAACAAATCTACATTAAAATTAATTATAAACAAAAACTGAATGATGTCCTTTTGTTAATTTACTGATTTCATAGGTAACATTTAAGTACTGTTTAATAAACGAGCAGGAAAGTTTTATTAGGCTTAAAGCCACGAGCGCGCAACGCGAGGTGGCTTTAGACCTAATAAAACACGTCCTACGAGTTTATTAAACGGCTTCAAACACGACTACAATAGATATACACTGCTTTCAGGCATTAAAATAGCGTGTCCTTGTACACACTTTGTGTCCTTGTTAAAGACGAATTTGCCCTTGTAAATTGAAAAGTGTGTTCTTGAAAATATATTAAACAGAAAATATGTTAATGTAATCCACACAAAATGGCCAAATATTTTCCAAATTCTTTTCCGGCTCAGAACACTGGAAATTCCATTTCAGAGACCCCCTTAAAAGCTTGCGTCTTCGACGCTAAACTTGTGACTTCGCCACTCGTTCTCGTGTCTGCGCATTATGCCAACAATACGCCTCAGTGTGTCGCAAAGACACAAGGACACAAAGTGTGTCCTTGTAAAAATTCCGTATTTTAAAGCCTGACTGGTTTTATTATTAGTATTCTTCATATAAACAATACTAATGAGGGAACGACTACAATAGATACTGTATTATTAGTATTCTCTATGTAAAGAATACTATTTAGGAGTGTTTTATCAGGTTTAAAGCCACTGCACGTGACATATTATGGTTAACATGATTTGCCGATAGGCTTATGAATTATGAATATATGAGTGTTTGAAATAGTTTTAAAAACTTTTCCATGCGTATACGTACGTACAAAAAACGCTTAAGTGGAATGTAGCCGTAGTAAATATTTGATTATTCGTTGGCAAAGATTGCCGTCGAAATCACAAAAGTATTTTATTCTAAATTCAGCTGATAATGACGATATTCATGATGATAATGGTTCATCAAGCATTCCAAGGAAGCAATGTAAACAATAATGGTGCTCAAGCCAACAACCAAGATATTATTATTATTGGCGGTTCTAATGCCCCAGGAGTTAAAAGTGTATCGAATACAGTTGAAAAATACAATATGGTAGAAGGCAAGTCAACTCAGCTGCCACGAATGCATCTCACTCGAAAACAATCAGCATCATGTGTTTACAACGGTGACGTCATCGTTGCTGGAGGTTCGGATAGTCAAGTTGGTACTGACACCATCGAAATTTTAAAGATGAACCAGCCTCCTTTGCGATGGACAATGTTTGATGGTAAACTGCCTGTTAAGTTATCCGGTCATGACGTCGCAGTTTACCAAGATAAATTATATATCATAGGAGGACATAACTGGAATGAAAACAAACCATCCGATGCAATTTATGAACTATCTCTTGCACCGCCTTATACTGTCAAGCTTCTCGCAAGAATGCCTCAGCCAAGGAAAAACCACAGAGCGGAGATAGTTAACGGGAAGCTATTTATCTTGGGTGGAACAACAGACCAGGGTAAAGATGCCACTGATAGTGTTGTTGTCTATGATTTCATCAACAACGAGATTAAGCCATGTCCATCGTTACCCGAGCCTACCTGGCTTATGTCCACAGTTATTTGGGGCAATACAATTATTGTTGTCGGCGGGGTGGATAAGAATGACCAGGATCTAGATGACGTCATCATGTATCACACTGAGACAGGCCAAAGTGACAGATTACCTTCACTGATACACAAGAGGTATGGTTCCTCAGCAGTAATTATGCATGACGTCATCATTGTATTGGGCGGACACAGTGATAACGAGGGGTATCTCAACTCAGTAGAGAGTTTCACAATGAGAGACGATCAGTGGAAAGAATTGCCAGGAATGAAAGAGAAAAGACATCGCGCTACTGCAACTGTATTGAAACCTCGCAACTAGTTTTTAAAGATATGTTTCACATCATACATTTTACATCAACATTTTCGAGGTTTTATAATCATATATGAATAAAAAACTTAATATTGTAATCTTTGCTTTTTATAACTTAATATATAAATTATAGTGGAATGTAAAAACAGTGTTTATATAGTAACATACAGTAGACTGTAGCAAATATGGTATGTGTAGATGTTTAGTCAAGCTCGTTAGATAACGGCCAATTCGTTTGACATGTTTCAGCTAAACTCTCAACAAAGCAGACGTCATGAAACAAAACTTGATCTAAAAGATCGCAACTAGAAAAGAACTAGAAAAGCTGTTTATTAACTCATAATTTTCTACAGTACAGTGTGTATCAAAAATTGTAGATTCATCTCTAAGATTAAATTTTCGATCCTCAATAATAGTTAGTTGTGTAAAAATCTGCAGCATTGGTATCGATATTAAGACTAATCTATGAAAATTCATAAATGAACGTCAAAAATAAGAACTATGTTTGTTATTTGACAATTGAACTTGACAATTTGCATGTTATGTTAAATATATATAGTTTGGATTAGATATAATTACATTAGAAGTTATTTTTAACAATTTTTTAGAAATATTCTGATTTTCATTATGTATAGTTATGAAAATGTTATTTATACTTTCAAAAAAATCTTATGTTATTCCACGATAATTCATATTGCTATTCTGTTAAGTTGTTTATTCATATTTTGATTCTATTTTTGGGTGGTAACTGTTATAAGATGCAGGACAGCTGTGGATTGAGAGGGATACAACTACCTGACAAATACAGCCAGAATTTCGACGCTTCGAGCGAAGGTCCTTCGTTGGGAAGTTAGTTTTGTCCGCTCGAAACGTCGAAGTTCTGCATATATTTTTGAGGTACTTGTATCTCTCACAGTAATTGCTAAACTGCGACATATGAAAATAATTCTACACATAATTTCCTCACTTTACTGTTGGTTGAGCAATCTGTGCATTTCCTTAGTAAAATATTTTTACAATCATTAGCAAGAGAGTCAATCCTGGGGAGATATACCCCCACTTATTAGAGGGCGACCCCCCCCCCCCCGAAACAACCTTCTCCCCCCAGAAAACTTTAATTGTTAATTTTTAAAATAATCAATCTTCGCAATGAGTAACAGCCTCGGAAAGCACCCTACGTACAGCAGCTCTGTTTCAGTTGATAGTTTTTGTTTAAACAAAAATATAACTGCAAATTTCCTAAGAATCTATTGATGTGTTTCTTCACTCACAACAAATTGCTTGTAATGTACAGCAAACCATATCCACCCAAGCAACCAGACAAACATTAACACAAAACAATAAATTGATCAAACATTCTTTTGTGTTCACGAAACTGACAGCGAAACGCACGGCTGATCAGGATCCCCGTTTGCAATGCTGCTTAGGACACGCCTTCATAGAACGATGCGATGCGCGTTGGTGATATTCGACAGAATGGAATTATTGAACGGAAAAGCGAAGTAAGGCATGCCAACGCATAGATATATACAGCAATAATATTTAGTTTTGAGCACTTGCGATGTATTCCCAGGTGAATCAGTTGAAACCAATCGATGTTAGCACTGAGATGGCAGCAATTTGCATCGACAAAGCGACTAGGAATAGTTTGCATTCATCAAAATAGTCCGAGACGAGCGAAAATAGAATGGAAATAAGCAAAGTGCATAGAGTGCAGTCGAGGAATAGTAATTTAGCGTAGATTAGTTCAAGATCAAAATGGTTCAATGTCAGAACGGGGACATAGAATGTCCCAGTACTGGAGAAAGCTTCACTTGCAAATGTCAAGTAAAGGCTCTTTCCTGGAAAATTTTTCTTATCCAAATGCTCTTTTTCTATTTTTCTTGTTTGCTTCTCCTTTGCTGGCGACAACGTAACAAAATCAGATGAAGGACATGTACATGCTTGTTCTGAGCCGCTGCCATTTTGAAATAAGCGCGAAATAGCAATTTGAGACTGCAACGAGCTCCAATTTTCCTTTTCCGATCTGACCATTCCACTTGTCCTTTTACTGGAAATCGCTTGCTGGATCGGACCGGACCAAAAAAGTCTCCAATCCGGACCGTACCTCTGCTTATTATCCGGAGTAGAAATTAGCCTTAGCAGACATAAAATCCGCGAGTTCCATTCAATCTTCGTTTTGCTTTCGTCATCATGATCGGCAACCGTTTCCGTGACCATTCGGTTTGTTTCGATCATCTTCGGGATCGGCGATCGCATCATCTTTGGTTATAATTAAATGACTGTCGACGTGACATTCACATTGTACTCGGCCAAACTTCGGTCGGCTTTCGGGTGGACGCCGTTCAATCTTCAGTCACCTTTAGGAACATTTTCGGAACAAGTTCGATCATCAGTAATTCTCCCTCCATCTTCTCTAAGAATTTCTTTCTCAACAGTTGCAATTTCAATCCAGATGTGTTTAGGCAATAATTTTGTTACAATCAAGAAAATACTCCACACTATTGTTAATGCAATCCCCGGGGAGTAGCCTTGATTGACATGCCATCCCCAAATCAACCAAGTCCACGAACCAATCCGCCAAACAGAGAGAAAAATGCCAAGACGTTAATGCTGTTGAGTATGTATGAGACGACTTTCAACGAACAAGTGAAAAGAAAAACAAGTCGTGGATGTCCACCAATCTTTGCAGAAACGTTGAACGAAGATAACATTAAAGCAAGGAACAACTTAAAAAGAAAATTGGATTAAACTGTTAACACAAGTCCTTATATTAGATGCAGGGGAGCTATCGTTGAGAATCTAAAATTCAATCCAATACTATGTTCATACTACACGGGAGCAAAATAATGCAGGCAGAATTTATGTCGCCGTAACAGTTTGTTTACAGCCCCCTTTACACATTAAATGAGCACTCATACGTAAACCCAAAATATTGCAAATAAATTTAATGAAAAGCATTCAATTTTACTGTTTCAAGACCTTGAGATGCTAGGTTTGCAAGCGGTACAAAAACACGTATGTGTTCGCACGAAGACGCCAAGCCCTCCGTTTTCAAACAATTTCGCTTCGGCATAGTATGAACGTATAATATAGGCTACGTTTAAGCCGGTTTTCCACTTCAAGCATATCGTACCGAAACGTATCAAAATCGTATTTAAATTTCAAAATTTCGTGTATGTTGATTGGATAGTACTTCCGTAGTACGCCAAAAAGTTGACTTGCGACGAACTTTTTATTTTGATACGCGAGAACACCCGGAAGTACGTGCATTTATAAACCTCTTTCGATGTGCGCATGCTCACCAGTACGTTTCGGTACGATACGCGCGAAGTGTAAAACCGGCTTCCGTATCAGATAGGTGCTTTTTCATGCCGCTACGGAAAGCTATCCGGTATAGTGTAGACGTGGCAATATTATCTAGGAGATGAATTTTGGCACTAAAACTTGGTTTACACTCTCAAAGTTTCTATGATCACAGCAGGAATTTTGCATAGGTAAATTATGTGTGTTGAATGATTTGTAAGACATGTTTGAGAGAACTCATGACGCAGTGTTAAACAACAACAAGGAAATTACCTGTGCAAAATCACAGAAACTTTGATAGTGTGAACAAGCCTTAAAATTATTACAACTGATCTAGTTGAATCAATGTTATGGTTGTTTTCATTAAAAATTCCGGTTCACTCAATGGACCATTGAAATAATGCATCACTCATCGCATGTGGGCCTTAAATTCATGAATTTCAATTTAGAAAACTCTAACAAATGGAGTAAAATGAAATATTGTTGATAAACGTTATCCTTTCTGTTTTACTGCTCAATTATATATTCACAAAGGTGGGAAAGTGTGACTTTAACCTGCAATTTTGGGGCTGTGAACTGGGCCAGAGTGAATCGTGTTACGATTTTTTTTTTCCCTAAAAGATCGTTTAAGGTGTCTTACTACACAAATTAAAGATTTTATGATTTGGATACGAATTTCTGGAGAATTATTATTTGTAAAAACAAAGAGTATCTGACTTGTGTAACACAATAACTAAGAAGTTTGGAATTGTTAAAAAAGTACTCCTAATTGCCGTTGCTATGGCAACAATGACGTTGCAATATGTGTGGCGGCACAGAATGACTAATCAGCGACTAATCAGGCATTTATATTAAATTGAGTCCTAACCCTAATCTGTCACCCACTTAAACCCCTCATCTGTTCCCTAACCCTTCTCTATTAATAAATCTTAATCTAACCCTAACCCTAAGCATGACCGCTAATCTAATCCTGACGCATAATCTAACTTTTTCGAAGCTTTCCGAACTTCGATTGTTTCAACATATTTCGATAATAGACCTTATGCATAATGACGTCACAAGGCTTGATGCCCGCGAGGAATGCTGGTCTTAGTAGTCATCGCGCGGAAAAATTTCGATAGTCAGGGGCGGAGCGAAGACTATCCTTTTCGGGGGGTGCAAGACAACTTTTTGCCGACAAAAGGGCGTGGCTAGCACGTTGTTAGGGCGTGGTCAAAACGAACCGTATTCATTTTTAAGTGATGTATAACGATGAAATCCGAGTAGTAAGATAATTTACTTTTTAAATAGGCGAAATAGTTCCTTAAAATACCTGGTATAAATGTCAAAAAAGCACATCCAATCGTCATCAAACGACCGATTACAAACTAAACACGTCAGTTTCTCTCTCTTCCGTTTGCGTTTTTGCTTGCTACTGTCCATTCTTTTAAATCATATTCGTATTTCACATTGTATATAAGACCGTTAGGTGTAATTTCTAAGACCTTTACTGGCTTTACAAAATTATAAAATGAAGCGCAGACGCATCAACAGTCAATACGCACATGTGCTTCGAGTTTCCTATGGTATCATATTTCACAAAATTGCAAGAAAATTTAATACTATTAAATAGCGTATTAGAGTAATAAGTTCTTGACCAATTTGGCTGAATGTTTGGAAAAGGACCGAGCTTTCAGTCGACATATCCATCTTTTCGATCTCGCATTTTCTACAAATTTTCTACAAACAATCTCATTCCAATCAGGTATTGCCTATTGGCTTGATCCAATTCATTTTGCCGACAACTGATTTATTGTGCCGACGGACACGGCATTGGGGGGGGGGGTGTGCGGCACCCCCCGCATCCCCCCCTTAGCTACGCCCCTGTCGATAGTGGCCATTTTGAATTGTTTAATTTTCCCGGGCGATGACTACCATTAAGCCCAGGATTCCTCGCGGGCATCGAGCCTTGTGACGTCATTATGCTTAAGCCATAAGGTCTATTCGAACTTCCAAGTCAGCAGCGTTGCCAACAGGGACGTCGCGAAGCCATCAACATTGGGAGGGGGGGGGGGTCGTCATGTTTTGACCAACATTTCCTAGGATTTTGACCAAGGCATACAAATTTTTCCCGAAAATGTTTTCGACGGAGGGGGGGAGGGGGAGGTAAAAAAATTTCCAAACTAACATAAGCATAATCAAAAAACTGTTTTAAACTGTTTTTTCCTCCAAACCTTTTTAACTCTCAAATAGTTTATTAGACATTTATTGGTTAGGGTTAAAGAAGGGACGAAGGGCTTGGGGTCGGGGTCTGTTTATCTTAAATATTCCAACTGCAGTACGAATACTAGCAAATCAAACTCGGCGTATTGTCCCAGTACGAATAGCCACTTCGTACTTTTAAAGGAAACGTATGCAAGGGAAACAATAGTTCTGGGTCTTGACTTATACAGTGTTCCGAGTTTACACTAAAACATTCATACAAATGGGGGCGGGGGGTATAGATTTTTCAGCATTTTATAGGGGGGAAGTCTTAAACCTTTAGCTCATCAAGAGGGGGGAAGGGTACAAGATTTTTGTACATGACATAAGAATCCCCCACCCCTAGGGTATAAAAAATGAACGGTCCCTAACATAAGCATATTCAATGCTTCCAATTTTTTTCACCGCAAACATAACAAAAGCTTTAAAATTGTTAAAATTACCTACTTCGACCATCTTTTATCCCAAACTTTTACCAAATTTTTCCGAGTTTTACTTTCAATTATAATTAAGCAAAGATCAGTTAACGTTTCATTTTGACCAACTTTGGGCAAATATCAGTTCCATTTTGACCATTTGTTCCATTTTGAAACAGTTGGGATTCTTTGGGATTTTTATTTTAAAAAGTCAATCTCGGGATTTTTTTGGGATTTCAGAATGGGAAGTTTGAAATTTAGAACTCTTTTTTGTGGCAAAATTGACCAATAAACAATTAAAAAACCCTATTAAAAAAAACCCCCTATTCAGCTGCATATTTGATGTCAGATTTCGTTTTTACAACATGAAGTACGAGGCTATCCTAACCGAAATTGGCGCGAAAACCACCTAAATTATAATCACGTGAAGTGGGAATATCGGGATTTTTTAGGGAATCTCGGGATATTTTGGGAGCTTACATACTTAGGATTTTTACAAAATTTGAAAATTTATACAATTGGAATTGGCAACTCTGCAAGTCAGTTTCCATCAAGAAGGCACGAACGAAGACGAGTTTAATTGTTTTTGTTTGTGGAAACAGCACGTAAATTTATTACTGCAAAGCTTTCGATCCGTAAGCCCGGATCTTCATCAGTGCTAATATTATTAGCACTGATGAAGATCCGGGCTTACGGATCGAAAGCTTTGCAGTAATAAATTTACGTGGTGTTTCCACAAACAAAAACAATTATATTTTATCGCCATGCAAACATTCAGAGAACTTATTGAAGACGAGTTTATATACGTCAATTGAGGTAATCTGTTTTGAGTTTTTGATTTACCCTAGCTGCCTCACGCCTTGGAATTTATGATAGTAAGAATGTGAGAAATTGTTCAAATTATTTTACTGAAAGCTACGAACTGAGAGATTCAACTACCCGAAAAATACAAGCAGAACGTCGACGTTTCGAGTACTGTATTTTATATTAACTTCAAGTTAGTAGTAGAAACTACTCGAAACGTCGACGTTCTGCTTTATTTTTACAGGTAGTTGAATCTCTCTCAATTCGTAGCTTTCTGTTATCGTCGCTCAGCCTCTTAGCGGTTCGAGTTTACTATGGGATGAAAGGTAGCTACAGTATGAACCTGCTTTGCCAGGGCGAGATGTGAGGCGGGATTATTTTGATGTTTTGAAATATAAAATTACGGTGCATAATTCAGTAAAAAACCACATTATTTTCTAGAGATAGGTTATAGTATAACTGTAAACGAAAGGTTGTTCAAGCAGCAATAACAATCTTGAACTACAAGATTTTCTCCACAACATTTGAGTTCTGTTTATATCACCCCGCCTTCCATTTAGGAAAGTGCAATTTGAATATCAAACACCTTGCACAAAGTCGAAGGTCAGCTAAATATTCTACTTCTACTTTCTTGGCATGGGCGGTATTATATGAATACATTCAGTGCTTATAATTTCTTGCTTTTGTGTGTATAATTTTAATACTGTCTGTGATGAAGCTAGCCATAGTGACAGGTCATATTATGGACATTATGACATGCAAATTTTAATAATATGCATAGTATTCAAATGATGCAGGTTTATTGTCACTGAATACTGTATAATATCATATATACAAGTACTAAGTCAGTTTTTGTCCCAATTATCGTTTAAATATGGCAACTTCAAGGCTACCCCTAGCTACAGTATCACAGAACAACCTGACATTGTTGTTTAATTAATATGTCAGTTTCAGATCATGACACCATTCATTGTATATACTCAGTCAGAACTGAAAAACTATAACGAGAAAGAAAATGTGAGCATTATAATATACCCGGAAATGTTGTGACACAGCCTAGTGAATATATGTATAGGCTGGTAGGATTATTTCATATTATGTTAACAATGGACATATCTCTGAGATATAAACAAGCCATCAAGCATCATACCTTGTACAAAAGTCGGTTGGCATGCTATTTATACATGTAACTGTTGGTAATAAGTTAATATATACAGACAACAATCCCCGCACTGGATTGTTATAGGAATCTTATTAATTTAATAATGATTATCCTGATTACATGCATAAGTAACAGTCCACGTTTGTTTTTAAAACGTGCTGAAGGCACATTGCTATAAACATCTAGAATGAACACTATAAACTGATTGCCTTATCAATGACAATGGGCTACTAAAACTGCCAATAAATTCATGAAATCATGTTACAATTATACCTCTACATTGAAATTGCTAAACAGCAGATCTAAATATAAATGAATGAAATAAAGCCATTCTTACCTGATACGATTCAAAATATTGTCGAAGGTCGACCATTTGCGTCATGAAAATCCAACATATAAACTTGTATAAAACTGAAATCCTGAGAAGAATCATGCGTGCACAATACAAAATAAAGTTTGACCGCCCCTTGTTTAAAAAATTACTGCAATAGGAGATTTAGGGTTTCCAACGCCATCTTGAATCTATTGTTTTCACCATTGTGTTTTCACCCCCTGCAAATGTACCTATAAGGAATTCCATTGTGTTTGGCACTGTTTGCACCTATTGTGTTTCATTATGGCGTCGGAAACCTTGAATCCCCCTATTAGTATTAGTGCACTACTAGAAATACATGCATGCAACAACCCCTCGCCTATATTCTCCAAATATTGTTTCAACATGAAGTATTCGTAATTACGCCAACACTGAATGCAGGCTCGCGTTCCGTTGCCATGTCATGTCAGTCATATGGCAACACGATAATTGTTTTTTAATTTTTTGTACAAACCTGCAAAAAATAGATGAAACTTGAGCATTTTTAAATACAGAACTATCAATTTTTAAACTAGATATATTTAAGTAGGTATATTATTTTGGTTTCTATGGGCTTTATTTTAATGTAAAATTCGAAACGAAACTCTACATATTAAAAACACTTTTAAATGTGAATTGAAATTAACAGATTTTTGCTGATATTAATCTCTTCAACTTATTACTTGCACTTTGAAATGAAATAATTTAATTTGCACAGGATGTTAATGAAAATAATTTTCTTTCCTTTTTATCATGAAGTTGAACTTCTACAAAAGTTAATTTAACTAAGAAACGTTCACATACAATGCACAGGAAAGACTTGGACAACAAGAACAAAGTCTATAATCAAATACAAAGTCATACATAAACAATTGAAACAAACTTGCCTTATAGGCTATACTTATATCATACTAAATCAATTCTTATAAATGTTTAGGTTTAAAAAGTGAAAAAAAAGTTTTACAATTTGTTATGTACGAAACGATTTTCCAAGCTTTCTTGTAAACATATATTTTTTATATTTTCCCCTACTTCACTCCTGGCAAACAGCCATATTTTGAGATTAGTGAGATGACAACCCATACACCCATGAACCGCGTCAGCGATATTTGACGAACTTTAGACTTCGCTAGTGCGTTCCTTTCCCCGGGTGTAAATAGCCGGGCGGAATTAGTACCCTAGCCCCAGACTTACGCCCGGAACAGCGCTCTGCGCCGTTGGCTCTGGGATAAAAGTATATACTAACCACAGGCAGCTTGCCAGCTTGGTTGTATACTGTTTAGTTTATGTTATGGAAATGATTAACGATTTTACTTAACTGATGGCTATTTGACATGTTTAATATATAATAATATGAGATAATTCCAGGGTTACTGGGTAAATATCAAACCTAACCAGGAGCATGCAGCTGCAAAAAATGCAAGCCATCTGGCAGGAATCGAGTGCAGTGCTCCAACCAAGCTGCAAGAACTTATGATTAATGCTCGTCTATTGGACTCTGTAGCTCAGTTGGTTATAGTGTATAGCACTGTAATCACAGGGTCTATTAATTGATTCCTGCCAGAAGGCCACTTATTATACAGTTGCATTTTTGTACGTTTAAAAATTGTATATAATCTTCCACTCAAAGTTAGCATATTAAACTTAATTGTTACATAATATTACCAATCTAATATCATTTTAGTCAATTTTCTCAATTCTGATTGGTTAATACTGTACTGTGCTGTTTACTCATACACATGCCATAAACTCATAGTGTTGGTGACTGATTGCTGCATTAACCACTGTATACATTGTATTCATGACTTAGAAGTATGCATGACATTGTATTGTGACGTGAAGTCAGTCACGTCATGAACATTCTTAATTTAAGGCATTACGTCATTATGCTGATTCATGTTTTTGCTATATTTATTGTTTACGTATTATCTAAAAATAGTATATACAGTATGTAATGTTCTATAAATATCTTGCGGATAGTACTGTATATAAGCAGCGAAAGCTTAAGCTAAAAAGAAATTAGAAAAAGGATCACAGAAAAGTTTAGAAATAGTAATTTGTTGTTGTTGTTCAAGAAGAATAAATTGATATTGTTGGATTTATTGTCGTCGCAAAGTTCATTAGACTTAGAAGAAGAAGGATATCCCAGAAAGCCTCCTTGGCCAGCGCGTCTCGCTGTGTCTGGTCAAGGAGGGCAACGAGCGTAAAGATGCAGACATACATTTTTGTTCTTTCTCGCCCCTCGAACGTAACAATTGGGGGCTCAGGCGGGAAACCACTCTCTCGGATGAGAGCGGTTGCTTTTGTTGTCAGTCTGATGATTGTCCTTTTGGTGTTACATTTTTTATGGATGTCTTTCCAGTTTTACTGCCATGCAGTTCAAATTTTTCAACTTAGTCAGAGGCTGAAGTACAAGAGTGCAACGCTGCAGGTTCACTACAGTAACGTCTTCGTAAAAAGGTTTCTGCTAAGATTGTGCCTAACGTCTACTCAGTGATGCCTAACAGTGGGGAAAGATTTTGTATTGGTCAGGGCAACGAACGTAAAGATGATAAAGATGCAGACATACATTTTTGTCCAAATCATTGAAGTCCACCTTATCACAACCCACACACCCGATATATATGCAGTACATGAACTTACGGTTAAAGCTCAACAGCTGGCCTATGTAGCTCAGTTGGTTAGAACGCTGCACCGGAATCGCAGGGCCGTAGGGTCAATTCCTACCAGAGGACCTTGTGCTGCATTTTTCGCAGTCGTGCCTGGTTAAGTCTTAAAATGTATATATTCTCACTTGGATTACAAACCCTAGCATTCTAATATTAATTCCACCAAGTGAAGTGCAAGAATCCAAATCATTGAAGTCCACCTTATCACAACCCGCAGACCCGATTACCTATGTATACATGAACTTACGGTTACAGCTCAACAGCTGGCCTCTGTAGCTCAGTTGGGTAGAGCGCTGCACCGGAATCGCAAGGCCGTAGGTTCAATTCCTACCAGAGGACCTTGTGCTACATTTTTCGCAGTCGTTCCTGGTTAGGTCTAAAAATGTATATATTCTCACTTGGATTACAAACCCTAACATTCTAATATTAATTCCACCAAGTGAAGTGCAAGAATCCAAATCATTGAAGTCCACCTTATCACAACCCGCACACCCGATTACCTATGTATACATGAACTTATGGTTACAGCTCAACAGCTGGCCTCTGTAGCTCAGTTGGTTAGAGCGCTGCACCGGAATCGCAGGGCCGTAGGTTCAATTCCTACCAGAGGACCTTGTGCTGCATTTTTCGCAGTCGTTCCTGGTTAGGTCTTAAAATGTATATATTCTCACTTGGATTACCAACCCTAACATTCTAATGTATATATATATAGCCCTGT